CGGGGCTCCTGCGTCTCAGCAGTACCCCTAATTTTGGGAAACCCCCACATTGGTTGCACCAAGTATGACCCACCAAGGCACAGCCCCCTTCCACCCCAAACCGAAGGGTTCGTTTCAATAAACCTTCAATTAGTAAATCAGTGGGTTTAGGGGTTATATTGGGGATAATGGAAAAGAAAATGGAAACTACTATAGAGCTCAATGTAAATAGGGGTTTCCCAAAATTAGGGGTACCATTTTGGGGGGTCCCCATAATAAGGAATGTAGTATATTGGGGTCTATATTGGGGTCCCACTATTTTGGAAACCTGCCAAATCTTGTATAGAGCTGTGTGCTGGGTTACCAGGGTTTCTTCTTGAAAAGGTTCGACCGGTCTCACGGTTGAAAATATGATAAAGACAGAATGTGTGTGTCAAGCCTGCCAGTGCAGATGCGTACTTGACTTAGCTAGTTCTGTATACATGCTGTGGAACGGCAAGGAAGAAGATGAAATATTAATGAGAGGGGCAAGCGTTCCCACGACAACCCTAGATTGGCGGACACTAAAAAGACATGAGGTGCTGCGATTCAAGGATGTTCATCCTGGAGTGAGCATCAAAGTTGTGGCCACAGCTTCAATGTCCGTAGCTTAGTTCGCCGGGCATGAATTGAAGCAAGGCGGGTTCGAGGAGGAATTCTGCAAATTTTGCTCGATGCTGCAAGTTTCCAAGCCGCCTGACAGGTCCCAGCAGGCCGAAGCTGTGCTGCACTTGAAAGACCTCAAAGCCCACCTGGCCAAGGCGACAGAAGTTGCACTCCCCTTTAAAGATCTTCAACGGGCTGAGAGACATGCTAGGTCATGAAAGTCTTCAGGCGGTCTCTATCAATCATTGTACTGACACCGTGTTTTCAAACATGGTTTGTAACATATACAACATTGCAAACACTTACTGCAACGCTCCAGGTGAAGAGAGGTGAAGCAAAAGCAGTTGTTTCAGTTGAGGCCTGGAACTGCCGTCAGCTGACGGCTCATACAATTTCATCATCTTCTCGAGTACATGGCAAGAGCGAGGAGATTGCAAAGTAAGCACGGAGAGGCTGTTGCCTGTTGGGTTGGTGACCTGGAGCGTCAAGAGCAGGATCCTCAGACTTGAAGCCCATTGCCCCAGGGTTCAGACATGTTCAGACTTTGCAAAGCACAGGCTGGCCATGCAGCCTGGCGAGTTTGCACCCACCAGGACAATCATGTCCATCCCTCAACAAGCTCTCGCCACGCGCGGATCCCAACGTCCGACCTGAATGATTTGAAGTTTGAGGCTACGGTGTCCAGCCTCCGATATGGTCTGTGCCTGGCGACTTTGGGATGCACAGGCAACAGTGCACTTGGTGTTTCAAGCCAGTCCCTCCATCCAGATACCGGTAGAGATAGTGGGCGGTAGGCAGAGAAGTTTGGAACAGAATTGCAAGGTCCTGGCCTTGTTCTGCTGAAGTTGTTCCACTTCTCAAAAAACAAGTCTTCTGCCAATACCAGGCCATAGCCTTGTCTTGAATGGAACTCGAGTGCGCGAAGTACATGGTCAGCCAGAACTCACAGGCTGTGTCGATTGCTCAGGTGCAGATTACATGACACTGTTGGAAGGGACCGCCAGTCTGTTAGCCAAGGCCAACATCAATTTGCGGCGCAACAACCTCTTCTTCGACGTCTTGCGTTGCTGAGAGCAGCAGCTTGCTTCACATAAGGGTGTGTTGTACGCACGTGGCCGGCAGATTGAGGCAACGCGCATTGAGATGGGGGGAGCATGCACAATTTGCTTTGGCGAGTTGCATTGAGGATGTCAGCAGCTCCGATGCATGAGAGAGTGTGGGGCTACTGATGGATGCATAAGTGTGAGCTTGCTGAGAAGGCATGCAACAATTAATTAGACGCAGGTTTGAGCCGTTCTTGAATGTGCGGTTTGAAGAGGCTGCGCGCTTTGCATGACAGTCAACGTCGACGCATCATTTGCTACTGCATGTGCCTTCCGTAGCAAATGTTTTGCTGGTGATAGCGCAGTTCATTCAGCAATGGTGCGGTTTCGCTGACAATTCAGTGCACATTCAGTCAACTGACAAGGGCCGTCCGGGCACCGTTTCTCAGCGGACTGGACTGGGGACATAGAATCTAGGGGAAGAAGATTCGTCTGCACAGGGAATAAAGTTGAAATGAGCGCTTGCGAAATTGAATTCCAGAAGCAGGATCTGTTGAGTAGCCAGTCAACTCCCACACCCTTGGCCATGCTCGACCTGAATTTGACGCGTTGCTGAAGATGACAAGGGTCGTTAGGAAAGCTTTGCTGGTAAGTGTGAGCTGTCCATTGCCGAACCCCAGAAGCACAACCCTTCCGGGGGTGTAGCAGGGAATGAGGCAATAGACTATACAGGGGTCATATAGGGACTATATTCCCTTATTCCCTTCGAATAAGCAGTCATGGAACCATGGGCCATGGCCATATTACCTGGCAAGACTGCGTGCGAGAGATTGGCTCCCACAATTCGGCAGATAGCTGGAACGCACTGATCGGGACCGCCAGTCATTAGTTAAAGTTACGACGAGATGAATCTGGTGCACCTTGCTCATAAGCCACGTTATTTCTTCAAGCAGTGTCCGATAGTCGTACTTTCTGTATCTCGCAGGCAAGTAGGTGTTTAATCGGAGCACACGGCCGGCCGTTGCCTTGGAGTTTTTCGATCACGTTAGGTCGGCTCTTTTAATTTCAGTTGACAACCATTTGCCAGGGCTCATGGGCAGCTCATCTTCTGCAGCGAGGCCAGCAGCCTTTCAGGAGGCTCTGGGGGAGACGGATCCTCAACCTGTCACTTCATATGGTGCCACATGATGGCAAAGTAGCAGCAGCAGCAGCAGCAGCACTTTACAAGTACAACACTTGACAAAATTGCTGGCGCTAAGCTGACACGGCTGTTTCTTGGTGCAGCGATAATCTGTAAACCAGTCATTGTTTCATCAACTTGCTTCGCCTTTCTGAACATCAGGCTGGGTTGCTGCGCTCGAACCTGAGTGCTGCCAGAAACAGCATGGAGAAATCCCGAAGTGCCTGGTGCAATCTCAGACTCCGCAAGTGATGATGCAACGGCAGCTGCCAGAAGAAGACAGGAGCTTCATAGCCAGCCAGCCACTGATCAGAAAAGTGTCCTTCATAAAGTACGCCCGCAGCCTCGGAAAAGAATGTCTCCCAAGAAGAGGGACCAAGGCGCAAGGGGATGTCTAGAGAAAGGGAATCCGGAAATGGATCCTCCGCAAGCAAGAACCTTGTTTTAAAACACCCGCACTGTTTTGAAACATGGTGTCAGTTTGTGGTATTTATAGCCGAATCAGTGAATGTGCTGCGTAAAGAATGTACAGGCTTAAGCATGCAAAACTTGTGACTCTGTGGTCGAGTACTGTTGAAGTGTTGAAAAATTTGAAAAAATCAATGCGCAAACCTACGCATATGCTTACTGCAGGAATTTTCGACACTACCGTGGTGCCATTTGCAAGGCAAGCAATATCGATATTAGTTGCAATACTAGCATTACTAATGATATTTAGAATGATGATGCTACCGTTGGTGCCGGTAGCATTAGCAGTATTTATGATTTATGATCACGAAATTGAATGTCAATAGTCAATAATGTTAAGAGTGAAAAAAACAGTAACAATATCAATGGCATGAATGGTATCTGTAGTATTTCTAATATTGATAGTATTCTTAGCATTAGTAGCACGAATGCTACTGGTAGCAGTAGTAGCATTGAGAGAATCAATCGGCGTAGTAGGCTTAATAGTATGAATAGCTTTGTTGCATCGATGTTATTATTATTATTAGTAGTAGTAGTAGTAATGCCAATCTTCTTACGAGTCTTCATCGTATTGGTAGAAGTACAAGTGATAGTAGTATTAGTAGTACTAGCACTAGGAGTTCTAGCGGTACGGAGAATCCTCGTAGTTGTAGCGGCATTAGGGGTATTCGGAACACGCTCAATACTAACAGGGCACTGGCACCGGCACGAATGGTATTAGCTTCATTACTAAGACGAATTATAACTAGGGAGACTCGTAATACCACTAGCACTAGTAATCCTAATAACCAGAACAATCCTAATTCCATAATCCAGAAGCATATCGAAAACGCGAATATTTCTTGCAATATTGAAGTACTTGTAGCACTGATAGTATTCATAACACCAGAAATCCTGGGAAGACTCATAACTTTTTGTTTTGCCTTCCGCTTGTGTAACAATTGACAGTTGTTGAGCACCAACCTGAGATCCAAAAGCATGCGGATCCTCATGCTTGTTCACCGGTTGTGCATCATTTTGAATTTGGTTGGTTGGTGCACCTGGAAGAACGTCTTGTTGTTCAGGTCTTTTTTGCGTGTGCCACCATTGCTTTCTGTGGAGCACTCTGTGCTACCTAGAGCGGACACCACTGAAGAAGATCGCTCTCAGGTGCACCAACTCCTTGAGCTTGGTAAGAGCTATTACTTTCAACGGCTCGCCCGAGCTGAAAAGAGAACACCGTCAGCAGTCCGCCACATCCCCAAATTTCTTTATCACCTCATGATTTCATGTACATATGTGGATTTCGGCTAAAGCCTCCATGTCTCACATTTCCGTTGCAGAAATGTTCAATTTTCGTCCATCGCCTCATTGATTGGGGGCGAAAGCAGGAGACCAGAGGTGCATCTTGGGCACTGGTGCTTGGGGAATTTGGCCGCTGGTAAAGACATGGCTGGACAATTGCGCGCTCACCACTTGACTGGTCAGCAAGGTCAACAGGTTTGTTCTTGTTTTCGTAGGGCGAGTAAATTGTCAATATGAATAAGAATAACATGAACAGAATTGGTAAGGAAACTAATATGAATATCAAGAATTCCAAAAAATATTTACAGTATTGGAAGCACCGCAGGCACTGGAAGCGTTACCTGTACCCATCATGCGTGAGGAGCTTGAAGATGAGGCCTTGGCAAGGAGGTTGATGCTGGAGGAGATTCGAAAATTTGAAAGCATCCGTTAACTCATGAATGAGCGCAAAACCTTGATTTCTCATGTCTTCATGGAGCATGCTCGATTTTTTTTTAGGAGATGGCCTCCGTTGGGCTGGCAGGCCTCATGCCTTGGTTTCGCAGGGACAATTGTCATCAAGACGTGTCGTGCCGCGCAGTGCAGCATGCACATGTGTGCAGGATTGAGTCGAGGAACTAGGGGTGCTGAACCAGTTTTATGCGTTTTCGCTACTTAAAATCCTTTATGCCATGCTACTTGTCATTTACCTTCCGGATGTCTATTGATTGTCCCCACAAGCATGCGTTAAGACCTTTGAACTCGCAGGTCCGTCCAGCTCTGCCAGCGGAAGTTCTGCGCGCCGCATTGCGCCAGATGCTGCACGATTCTTGGAGTTTAGAACATCATAGACCAGAGTCGTTTTTACCGTGATACTGTTTTTTGTACATCTGAGGCCATCACTCTGAGGGCGGTGTGCCCGACGTGTGGTGAAGCTCAACAGCTATGCTCCAAGAAGCTATCATATGCAATCATGTTTTGCTCCTAACTTAGACTTGGCTGTTTCAGGTTCCGCCAACCCTCACATGGAAGTGCACAGCTGGCCATTCGCTGCAACCGCTGTCGTGTCCCTACTTGCCATAGGCGTGCAACAACTTGGGGGCATTCCAAGCGATATTGTCGAACGCATCCGTTCAAGGCAATGAGCAGTTCCAGGCAGAAGATGACAGTCTCATGCATGTCGGCAACTGCACCATGCAGCGCAGAAAGCAATCGCAGTCAGAACGTCGCATCCCAAAAGAGCATCGGACACAAGATGCGTTCAGTAAGAGGCCAACAGATGCTTTGCACGTCTGTGTTGCTGCTGTAGGCATGTGTCATGCTGCCCTCTGTGTCAGCTGTGTGCATTGCAGCAGCCTTCCGTTTCGTGCCTCGTCCGTACTGTTTGATGTGGTGTTGCTGTGATGGTCAGTTGTGGGCAGGCGGCGCTCCCCCAGCAACTTGGACTGACAAGCACGTCGTTGGTTCATGCATGGGTATAGGTGCGAATGACTACTTGAACCATCTAGCAGCTGGGTCCCTGCAAAGTTTCCGTCGGGATAGCTAAAGTTCAGCAGTTTTATCAGGTCATGCGAATGATTAGAGGAATCGGGGACGTGTAGTCTCAAACTTTAACGAAATGGTGCTGCGATGAGGAGCAGGCAACTTGCGGAGATGTTTCAGCAGCTATGGGTTTCAGCTTCACAGCAAGCGTAGAAGAGGTCACCTCAGCTTCAGAGAAAAAGCTGCCAAGGACCCCAGCTGAGAGTGGCTTGTTGCGATCTTTGCGAGAGCGCTCAACATTGCAGTTCTGTCGTCGATGCGGCGGGAAACTTACGGCTTATAAGCTTGACTTAAGCCCAAGACAAGCAGGGTCAGGCCAAATCATGATGCACGGGCAGGCACACTGAACAGCTTCCCGTCTTCGGCTGCCGGTCAGCCGCAGAGGGTCAGCTGCGGGAACTGCGGTAATGTGACTGAGGCCAGAGCAAACCAAGTTTCTGTGTACTTGACTCCGCTACTCCAGCATCTCTCTTGTACTACAACAACTAATATGCACGTTTACGTGTAAGTTGATGCAGTTGGGTTCAGTCAGCAGACCTATGAAAGTTATGAGTTTTGGTCAGCGCAGTTTAGCACACACAAATCCGTGCTGCAACTGCAGTTTGAGCCGCGGCGTGCGAGAGGTGGGCTGCTTGAGCGCTCAACCCATATTTTGATTCGGGTTAAGACACTGGTGTTCTGATGAATTACTGGGTAGGTCAGCCAGAGGGTTGGGCTGCTTCATGGATTCGGCACTGCATCTGTGGTCATTACATATGAAAACCGACGTTGTCCTCTATGCATGCTCTCTGTCTTCAAGGCGCGCTAAGCGGCGCACCACGAAGTGAGAGTCAGCGAGCTTTGCTCGAAGCGCCGCGTCCCCAATCCAGTAAGTTGAGGCCCAGCAAGTGCCCTGTGGATGCATCAAATCTGTCCAGTGCAGAAGGATTTTCAGCGACCGCCAAATGATGCAAAGTACTTTGCACGGTCCAGTAGGCGCGTGTGACGATGGTCAAGTCTGACCAACCCTGAGCCAACACCTGAAGATAAATCAACCGCAGTTCGGATTCCTATGGATGGCCAGCGGCAAGCTATTCCTTTGGCAGAGCCGCCATGCTTATTGGCAAGTCCACGGCACGTAATACATGCAAGGCCAAACTAGCGGATTGGCTACTTTTTGGGCACGTGTTGTCACAACAGGCCCTGCTGGCTGCGATCATGGCTGCAGCAGACGCTGCTTGTCTACGAAGCCTTCGGCAAACTGGAGTGCTTACTACGACTGTTCTCGAGCTGACCAGGCCGATAAGTCCAACCCTGCAAGACGTGCCCTAGCCGCATTGACGTGCACAGAATACAGTTGCACTACGTCTCCTCCATGCGAGCTGCGGCAGGTACAGATGTTGCTGCACTGCCGACGCTGTCGACTCAGTTGAGCATAGTGGCTGCTGAGCAGCTGAACACTTCAAGGTGCTCTTAGAACCTGAACACGTGAATGCTCCAGGCGAACCTTGCAAAATCTGAATCACCTGGGTGATCAGACTAAGTGCCGCTGCAGCACTTAAAAGGGTTGCTGTATGCACAAAGGGATGTCAGGAGCCCAAAAAAAGATCCGCGGCTTCATCAGCACAGATATATTGGCCAGGTGCCTGATCTGCCTGGAAGAGTTCGCAGATGGAGATGAGGTCAAGACGTGACCTGGTTTCATTCGCATAAGCACAGAATGATCTGCCGTATGTTGATGACTTCATGGTGTTGCTCATGCCTGCCAATCATTCTTCGAAACATTTCGCAAGGCTTCCCTGCCTACACTTCTACCACCAGAGGCAACCCACTGGTGTAAGCTAGAAATGAACAAAAAAAATCCTTGAATCCTATTGCAGGTGTGTGGATCAATGGCTTGCCACGGACAACTCCTGTCCTGTGTGTCATGGGCCTAGCCGCAGTACGTAGAAAGGCTTTCCAGTGAGATCTGACTCAGGCAAGCATCCGATTGGCCAAGAGGATCATCCCGCGTGAGCGGTCCAACACTTCGCCAACGTGCTTGCGCGAAAAGATATCTCTGTGGCAACCCGGCCAGGAAGGAGTGCTTCAACAGAAATGACACAGGGTTGGGCAATTGTATTCCGGCTAGTACTGAAATCTTGCATACCTTTATTTGCGTAAGTATTCTTATTAACCTTATTGATTGTTCATTTCATATCAAGAAATTCCAGCCCTCGCCACTCCAGTGGGCCTGAGTCTCCGTAATTCAGGCTATTTAGGTCCGTCGGCTGGAGCTCCAGCAGCGTTAGCCAAAAGAAGTTATGGCAAATATCGTGATACTATAATGACGGGATATTTGGTAATTAAATTACGTTCTCGTCGATTTTGGATTTTTGTCACTACATAGCAAGTATATAACGTCAGTCTATATCGTTGCTCCCCGCCTTAAGGGACGTATATTCAGAAAATAATTTATTGCTCTTTGCTGGATATTTATTATACTAAAACTGAAATATTAGAGGTTATAGGACTTAAGGAGATTATAGAGGAAATATCTATTATTTTTTTCATTTCAGGATTATCTTAAGCGAATTATTCTTATTCGTTTATTTTTCTTTATATTTGAATTTAGAAATTATATGGGAATCGCATTAGAAGTTAATTAAGAAATTTCTGAATGTAAATTTCAATTTATTTATTAAAAAAAAAAAAAACCTTAATATATTAATCTATTATTTTATTGGGATAATGAGAGGAATTCAATTTCTGGATATTCTAAGAGATCTGAAAAATTTATTGAATAATATTTTTATGATTAAGAAAAATAGTTCTGCGATTTTTTTTGAAATATTATATGATTATATTATGAAATCTAGAAATTAGCGCATATATTTCTTAATATATAGATATATAAATATCATTATTCATTTATTCTAATTGAAAAATTTTCTTTGATATTTATTTATTTTCTCTATTAAATATATATATTAATATTCTCTTTAGAAAATGAATATATATTCGTATAAGATATTATATTTTTTATATAATTTATAAATATATGATATACGCTTAATTTTTTTTTCCATAGATATATTTCATGAAAATTTCTCTTCTCTTTGAAATTTAATCTCAATTTTTTTTCTAGATGAATTTATATTTTCTCTTTTATATATTGATTCTTTGATTTGCTATTCGTTTTCGAAAATAATATTATTCGTAAGGAATTAGAAATGAGAATAGAATATAAATATAGATAGATATATTCTGATCTTAAGTCGAGATTTTTTTGTTTATGAAATCTATAAGATTATTAATTAGCATTATGAATTAGTATATATATTCTGATATTATTCGATTTGGAAGATTAAATTCGCTCATTGAAGGCAGAGAATCTAATCTAGATAGAATAAGACTCTTCGATTTATTCTAATAAAGATACGAAAAGAAAATATACTAAATATCTTAATATTATGGTGCGATTATTTAAGGTCATTTCGCTCGTACGCGGCTTAGATTTTCCGGTCTATTTTTAAAATATTCAACGGAAAGTATAGATCCGAGACGGGAACCCAAAAGCTTTTTGATTTTATAGAATGACCGTATCTATCTACGTGCTTTTATGCGCTCGCCCGAGCCGCCGCGCATATAGTCTAAGAAAAATAAATGAGGCGGAAGAACCGGGTTAGGTCTAGATCTTGGGCAGAGATCTAAAATCCTGCAGAATCTACCAGGTCGGCCTTTTTTTTGGGTCATATGCGGTCTTATATATTGATTGTTCGTCGAGAGTCATTCATAGACGATCTCATATATCTCGCGTGATTTATCTCTTTGGTTGGTTGTGCGGTTGATCGGCGGAACGAAAAGAGATAGATGAGGCGGAAGGAGCGGACGGACTGCATATGGCTCCTGCATCATGAAAGGGCCGCGTGACTAAAAATCTCTCATAGACTCGAATTATTTCTCTCTCTTTGGCTATCCGCGCGGCTCGGCGGAACGTGAAGAGGCAGAGATCTAAAATCTTTCAGGTTCTATATATCATATGCGGATCGTGCTCGCTCATTAGATCAAACGTATGAGATTATATATTGATTGCTCATTATAGATTTCTCGAATAAATATATTCTATTCTTGAAAGCAACTAGGCAATCCTAATATTTTATTTGATATGAAATAGATATAGTATAATCGTATAATATAATATCAATTCCGAATATTCATTGATATAGAAATATTCCCAACTTTAGTAGAAGACGTAATTTAATAAAAAATCGTAATTCTCTATTCATTCTACGATGATAACAAATCTATAATTCATATTAGATTAGCTCTAGAATAATATATTGGATTCCTACGACGTAGGTAGCTACGATCATTCTCAGGATAAATGAGACGTTCCGTCGTAATATCTACGCCCAAAGAGAAACTTCCTAAGCAGAAATATCTATATCGCACCCTCCGGCATATAACTCGCCTAGCGACTCGCAAATTCTACGCTCAGCCTAAATAATCGGATAAATATCATCGGAGCCCCGACTATATATAAGAAAAATAAATAAATCAAATAAAATTATTGCCAATCTAATTTTCAACCCAATTTAGACCCAAAATAGCATAAATAAAAATCTTCAGGAATGATTTGTAAGTATACAAACCTATCAAATTCAATATACTAATATATTCCCAAACGTAATAGATTATATCATTTAATCTAAAATACACCTAAATTCTCTATTCACTCCAGAATAATAAGAACCGCGTAATTCATAGAAGTTTGCCTCTAAAATAACATATTGGATTCCTATCATCCGGGTATTTACGTCTTACTATCCAAGATGCATGCAGCGTTCCGCCCGTTATATTTATTTCATAAAGCTCTATCCGCCCAAAGCGGGATATATCAGTTACCCAATCTGATTTGGATAGAATCTATTACCAATAAAGAAAATAATTCAGTGCAAAGAATCAATCAAAGATAGTTTTCTAATAATTTCTCTAAGTCTAGCGAAGAAGATCTGCCTCAAAGATATGAAGATAAGATTAGTGATTCTATAGCATATGTCGCACCTGTTCTGAAAAGTCAGAAGTTCGCCCTAATAGACCGTATAGTATCCTAGATAATTCAAGCTATGATACGAAATAGTCGCCTTCCTGAAAGAGCGCCTAGATTTATTCATCGATGATGATCATGAAATTCTATAAAATTCTAGCTCAATTGCATTTGGTCTAAGAAAATCAAATAGAAATCTCTCGAATCCCGTTTCGATTCATCTTCTGCAGCTCCATTCGCTGCTAATACGTAGCTGTATAAGATCTGCCGAAACTCACATTTCCTCTTTACTTTATTAGCAGAAAAATATTCGAATATTTTCCAAGCTTGCTTCCAATTCTAGGGTCAGGCGTTCGCCCAAATACATCTGGCGAATCTTGATAGCCTGGAGGTCTCCAGTGCCCGCCCGGCTGAATATGCCAAGCTCAACGAAATTGGACATGCCGTAGAGTTTAGATGCTGTGTCCGCTCTAAGAGATTGCGTTCGCAAGCTGGTGGGTGGTAGCCATAACCTCTACCTTCTTGACCAGCCGTTCGCGGACAAAGAACTTTATGATTTCTTCACGAAGCGCCTCTTGAAGGTCGTAGTCCAAGCCCAGGAAAGCTCCTATCGAAGACATAGCTTGCAGCTTCTCCTCTGAAAAAAGAGGATATAATGATTCGTTCAAGATTTTATATATAAAATGCATTGATCCTTTCGATGATTGCCAATCAATCTGATAAATGTGATTCGTCGATGAACCACGACACCAATATCCAAAGCAGCCTCCTCCCGGCCAACAATGAGCGGGAGGCCAAATGGGAGACCAATATAGAACTGGTACGCTGGCTCTCCCCAGCCTTCGTGCCAAAAGGCAACCACGCATGCTTGCAATTCCACGCGCGCCATAGAATAGTGTCTGTAGGCGTCCGGCCAGTCCCCCCCTCCCAGGAGTCACTCACTCTCCGGACAGAGGCACGTTGGCCATCGGAGACTAAGTTCATTGCCAGCGCGATATGCTTCGTAAGCCGCAATGGAGAGCATGGCACCAATTTGTTCGGGTCTGAATTTAAATCCGACTGGCCGGCAGCGTTGGCATTGATAATGATCCGTTGCTTGCCGGAATTCTGGGTAATGGCGCATCTGGGGATGAGTCGGAAAGGCTGGCCTTTGAAGAGGCCATGGTTGAAGAGATATATGAACGAGCCTGTCTCTGCATCCTTCGTAGATTGCTGCAACATAAATAAATCATCTTTGCCAGGCCTAAGCTGGCTCCTGATCTGCTGGTTGTGGCTCTCCGCATCTTGGAAGAGCGCCGACAAAAGGATCGTCTCTATAGGTTGCAACAAGAAACCCCCAATTCCCAGCGCCTTCATTCCGAAGAGAAAATCTCTGGGCAATTCCGTGTCACACCGTGGCATGAGGACAACCAGCAAACCTAGAAAGCCCAGCTCACGCTTGGCTGTGACGCGGCGGACTGCTGCCTCTTGGAACTTGCGAAAGTGAGCGCCTATTGGCGCCCAGTGGCGATACAACTCCTTGAGCCTGCCTGTCTTGGCGTATGGGCCGCAGGGGGCCTCTGCAGCTGGCTGTCACATGAGCTGCTAAGGTCAAGTCTGCTCGAATGGCGCGGGCTCATATGCCCGTGAGAGGGATTGCTGTCATTGTTCGTCCCTGGGTCAGGCCAATAGGCAACAGCGGGGGCAGAATTGCCTTATATGAAATCGCGCCGACCTGCTGGCCATCTGTTGTGCGCTGCAACTGGCGCACCTGCGGACGAGGGAGCAAAGGCACCAGGCTCCCATCCCACGCCAGGTCTTGGGGTCGGCTAACCAGCGTGTACCAGCGTGCATATATCGGGAAAGGGTCGATATTGATGATATCCTCTATCATGAGAAATTGAAAGCTTTGGAATTCCTCTGGTGGGAAAAGTTTGCTGACTGCCTGGCAGACGGCTTCCTGGACGAACGATGGCACCGCAGATATAGCGGGCGAAAAATTCGCTGCCAAAGCTTTAGCCGTCACCACCCTTCGCCTGCCCTCCGTTCCATTCCGCGCTCGGGTCACTCCCGAAGCTCTGGGATGGGGCTTGCTACTTGGCCGCGTCTTCTCGAACACCAAGCCCGCCAGGACATCAGCCTCGCAGGGCATTTCCAAAGGACAGTCACGCACTAGGACCTTCTCGTGCAGCTTGTAGAGATCCCCCTCCAGCTGTTGCATGATGCGCTCGGCATAGAGATTGAGCCAGTCGTCTGTCGAGCAATTGACCTCAGATAGGAAACGATATGCCCATTGGCCCGCCGGCAAACGGCGGCTAGGATGACCCCGACCCTGATGATGTAATCAGCCGGGATTTGCTTGAACTGCTCCATGACTACTTGCACCTCTGCACGGAGTGAGATCCGCGCAGCTTCCGTCTCATCTGCGGACCTGAGGCCAAGATTGATTACCAAGGAGGCCATGGCCCATTCACGTAGAGCGCGGCCTCCTGCCTGCGTATTCGGGCGAAAACGAGGGGTGCCCTCCTTTGACGGATATCAAATCTGGCTCTCATAGAAAATAGATTCCCATTCATGGGGCGAATGAGTGCGATGGCACTTAGTCGGAGACCAATTGCTGATCTCGTCAATCTTGAGCTTGAGCAACTGGCGCTCGCCGCGCGCGCCTGACCAGAAATAGGCATCGTACTCCATCTCATGGAATAATCCTGAGACCTGCATGCGCTTCTCTTGCGGAAGGTGCCAGTGCAAGTTATTGAGGCGGGATTCTTCCGGACGGTCCTTCCGCCCCGCTCCATTATGAATTGCACGTGGTCCATCACGAAGGAGCACGCCAAATTGTCTTGGGAGATCCGTTATTGATCTTGCATCTTGAGGCCTGGTAGTCCTTCCGGGTAATGCTCATTCTGCTCACTAACCATCAGCTGGCTGATAGCGACAATTTCGTTGGAAACCTGGGGAATGGGCAGCTGCAATCCATGCCTGTAAACATGTCAACAAAGGTACCAACTTGGATCAGCACCGCATTTTGATCCTGCTGCCCTTCGAACGGGACTTCGCATCCGCCCGGTTCCGCTTTGTGAACAGCCATGCCGGCAACCTTGGCTAGAGCAAACCTAGGACTGAAACAGCATCTCCAGAATTTACAGCTGCCAGGCTGCCAAATGATTTCAGTGTGGAGGTGTATCAAATACTAGCCCTGGTTTCCCGGCTGCTCTTCGCACGGTATTCGTCCTCCTCCTCCTCCCCATCATCATCATCATCATCATCATCACCATCACCATCACCATCATCATCATCATCATGTTGTTGCATGTTGTTGCCGTGGTTGCTGCTGCTGTGGTTGCTGCTGCTGCTGCTGCTGCTGTTGTTGTTGTTGTTGTCGTCGCTGCTGTTGCTGCTGCTGCTGCTGCTGCTGCTGCTGCTGCTGTCCGGGCATCTCCAGAACAAGTTACATAGACTCACTTCGGCTCCCTCTGCTAGCGCGAGCTTGCCACTGCAAGGTTTGAGGCAAAGCAGGCGTCAGCCAGCTGGGATCCAACATCCCAAGACGTTGTGCAGCCAGGTGTGGGCACAATGACTACCACGTGGGGACTTGCCATCCTTCTTGCATCTGGATTGCGCATCAGGCCAGGGTAGCAAAGAAGCTGTCGCTTTTGAGTACCAAGCGCTAAGCTGCTATGTGAATACATGTTTGCTGTTTTCTTACAGGGACAGCCACTGGTTTCTTCTTGCACAACTGAACATGTCTGAAAATGTCCCGTTTGGATTAAGTGAATCTCACCGTGAGCCTAAGGCCTAATGGAAATCCACGCACTCCACCCTCGATGCGCTTGAACTTGTTGCCACCGTTGCCGACAGGTCATGCGATCCATTTTCATCTGTTTGAGAACTTTTGCTGGCGGGTAGGCGAATAATGTACACTTTGGCGCTTCGCGCGAAGGAAGACGGCAGCAAGTGAAGATGCCAGCACATGTCATTTCAGACAGCTGGCCAGCCTCACTGCCCATCAGCTACATTACCACTTGCTGCACACGTCATTAAACGCACACAGCCAGAACTTTTGGTCATTAACACTCATGCGACACGCAATATTTGTTTATCTTGTGAGGCAACCCTAAAATTCATTGAAATATGCTGCTTTGTCGTCTCTGCTAATCTATCGCGTGTCGGCCCTTTGTTCTGATGACGGGGTCCCGTCTTCTCGCATTCGACGGACTCGTTCCGGAACCAAGGCCTGTCATCAAGCAGGCATCACATGATAGCATATCATCGCGATGAATCACATGGTAGTGGTGCCTCCAGCGCCTGGCACTGCCCCAACAACCTGCCGTAGCGCATACCTGGAGCTTTTTTATCTAGCTGATGAGCTTTTAGGACGGTACAACGGTGAGTTGTACACAGAACAAAGTCTAAGGACTAAGCCCAGGCGGTGCAAAGATGAAGCCATCAGGGCCATCTCTCTGGCGTGAGCGGCCTGCAGTCCAAAAAAGGTAAAAGGCTCTGATCTTCAAGTTTGGACTCGGTGGATCAAAGCAGCCTCCGCCTCGCTGGCAGTTACCTCTCTGTGCTCCAGCCTGAGTACGGAAAAAGATGGCCCTGGTGGCATGGACGTTTGCAATGTGTTTAGCACTGTCAAAAGCTTTTTTTGGTTGGCTTGGGGCTGAGCTCCTGCTCACGGAGCTGGATTTGCTCCTCAAGCAGCTCAGCCTTGGAGCTCGCACCAAATCTCTTCACCATTGCCATATCCAAGAGCCTCGAAGTCTCAGAATGCCACGCTGGGCCCCTGCCCTGTTACGGATCCGCGAGAGGATAACCTCGCGCTGCTCATTCTTCTGTAGAATTGGGCTGGTTGCGGTTGGTTTCCGGCCTGGGCGTAGGTTCACCAGGAGCTGAGCGTGACTTCTTGGAAGCCTCTCATGAAGGTCTTTAGGCACAGGGTACATCATCCTCATCGTGCAAGACGCGTGGAGGAGCCTTTTTGCTTATTGACAGCGGTCTGTGGGCTGTCCAATTCCTACTCGCACGCCAATCGTCACCCCTGTCCTTGATGGCTAAAATGCCTGGATGGGATCGCTTGGCGGCTGCAAAACTTCCACTTCCATGAAGTTGTCACACGAGAATCTTCCATGACAGAAATCACCTGACATGCTCAGTACTCCAAACGTTTTGCCATCGGCTAGGTGCTACCTTTTCCCATCACTTGTTATCGGCCCCAAGTTTGGCGATTGCATTGCTTACTTCTGTAGAAAAAACAACTGAAGACTAGCTGCTGCATGTTGGCGGCCGTTGGTTTCTGAGGCAGGCATGCTCCGGCATCGAGGTGTCCAGTACGATTTCTCCTGGCATCAAATGGATGAAGCTCACGCTGGATCTGCTGGCTTCACAAGAAAGATGTCCTCCTCTCTGCAGCTGACAGCCGGCTTCTTCGCCAGTGGCTGTCATGCCAGAAAGGATCGCCGGCAGTCCACGAGTCCACGCGGACCTCCTGCCCGGTCATCTTGCAGAGCTCAGCTGCTGCCTGCGGCCTTCTTGACCTCCATATCTCCATATCTTCCGTGAATCGAACGACGGCTGTCGTAGGACGCATGGCAAATCGTAAAATGGCACGCCCCCCGCAATTCGCTGAGTGCTCTAGCTTATCAAAGCCGCTTGTTGGAAGCTGTGCTACGACTTGCAGTATTAGACTCCACGGACGCAGAGGTCTTCGAAGCTTCTGACAGGGCGCGGCTATCCTTGCTACATTGTCGAGCAATTATTCGTGCAAAGTCAACCAACTCTGCATGCCCCTCGGCAATTGGATTCTCTAACATGTTCCTGAGCGCTTCTGCTGAGGGTCGTTGATTTTCGCTCTTCAGATCCAAACTAGCCACAGACCCAGATGGCGAGGGAGGGCGATCCATGGACATCACTGCCTGAAGGACTTGAAGCCTTGAAGCCTCGCCGGCTTCAGACAAGGTTTTTTGCACATTTACAGGAGCAGGCCGGTGAGGCGGCTCCTGTGGCAAGGACGGGCGCTGTGCACTTGATGCACTTGTCACTTCGACAACTTCAGAGACCCCCTGCTGGAATGCGGACGGGGTCAGAATGTCATCCTGCTGGCTCGGTTCGTGGATCTCCGCTAGATTCTGTTGCGAATCGGGCGGCAAGACCCCCTGGTTTCCTGTTTGCGAAGCTCGTGCAAGCTGCGCAGCCAGCACCAGCAACTTCCAAGAAATGTGCATATAAAAAAGCCTGGCCAGAAGGGACCATGCTACGGAAATCGCAAGCAACTTGCAAATGACAAAGGCCGCACCCAAAAGGACATCATCCAGTGGCACAGTAAGATCAGAGCATGCCAAAGCGCACTGAACATGAAGGTCCCATCGTGTATCAGGAACCTGCCGCCACGAGCTGGGCTGGCAGCGCAGCTCCAAATCCCATTCGCATTTTTGGATCAAGTTCTGGAAGCCTGGGGTGTCCATTGTGAAGCTTGGAAGCAAGCGACAAGCTTCCGCCACTGTCGTAGCGCATGCCAAAGCGTGCCAGAGAGCGCAAATCGCGAAGAACCTTGCCCAGGCCTGGCGCTTAAGGCGGCAGCAGCAAATGCGGCTCCGAACAGGTAACTGCGAAGCAGGGGCCCTGAGCAGCTGCACGGTGACCAAAAGCGATGGACCCCAGGCAAGAAGAGGCACAAGCAGCATCAGTGAGCGTGGGCCGATTGTCCGCAAAAAGCCGTACATTGGGTCCCAGTCATTTTCTGCCAACCAAAAAATCACCGCTGCTGACATTGTATAGGCAGCAAGCTCTGTTGCTTGCATGATCAGCGCGATCCTGCACAAGCTTCGAACTGTGCTCCTGAAAGTCCATCTCCAACGCTGGCCACAAAGGTGGTCCCAAAGCACAAAGCGAATGACAAGCATGAGCGTCCAGCATGCAGCTGGAAAGCATACAGCAAGAGTCGTGGCGATTTCGTCCACGCGGCGGAGAGTTTGAAGCAAGCCCAGCCTCCTCACAAAAAAAGTCGAGAAGTTAGGCTCTCGGTCAGGCCCCTTTTAACATGCTCGAAGTGCAGCCATCAAGGATGTCCTGTCCGGAGCGACGGTCGGCATAATCTCAAGCGTCCAGACCGGCACAAAGTGGTTGTTGATTATGTACGGCTCCTGACTTTTGGGCTGCTGCCAGCTCCAGCCAACAGCTGAAAAATTCAAAGTTTGCTTTACTCTGCTCCTTGGGCAAGACCACGTGCAAAGCTGGGAGCCAATCCTGAGCTTTGTCCATCACTCCGCGCCGCTTGCCCCACTACGGTTTTGCTCTTCAACCTCGTCTTCTTGTGTAGGCTACCTGCATCACTGCACCACTCACAAAACATGCAGCGGCGACGCCAGGATCCAATTCTTTTCGCTTCGCAATTTTCTTCCGGAACCCAGGGGACACTATTTTTGTTCGCTTACTACCTGTGCTGATCTAAAATCTAAAACAGCAACGGTTTATGTTGCGCGAGCACACCTCCCCTGAGATGCATGTCCACCCTGCAGGAAGCCAGGAGAGTCTGCCAACTCCCTGAGCGGCTCAGGAACCCTGCCCCAAGAGGAAAGGCGGCAAGCAGACTTGAGTCAAATCTCTTTTCTTCTTCACGCTATGGGAGCCCGACGGCTTGCCGGGCGACCCCCCGAGTGGCGCAAGGTTCAAGTCTGGTCTGGTTGGGACCCGCGAGGCTCAACATACCTGGTTTACACTCGCTCGCTCACTCGAACGCTCTCTGCACGCTGTTTTCTTGCATTTTGTAACTTTGCCTTGACCGCTTTTGCATCCAAAGCGCATTGCGAAAGAACTCCGTGTCAGCACGGACATTGAAGAGAGCCGGCGAAATTTGTAGATTCTGAAGTCCTGGGTGGATGCATCCACGTGGCATTGCTTCTTGAGGAGCTTGGCGCCAAGATTTGAGCTCCTTGAGATAACCAGGCAGCTTCTTCTGGAAGTCCGTCAGCCGACTGCCACGCGGTGCTGGGGACCTCGGAGATGGGCGATGCATCGGCAAACTTGCTCATTTCCCAACATCCAACGGTTTGCGACAAGCAGCTTGCAGGCCAGACTGACTGCCGAAAGCCTGGAAGACTGCTTGGAGGTCTTCTTTGAGCAGCTCGGCATCGACGGCACGTCCCGGAACTGCCTCCTGAACTGAAAATAAACCTTACACAACTGAGGTGGACCCAATGGTGGCTTGTAAGGTAGTGGCCAGATACAAATCCAACGTCTGTAGTTCACCAGCACCTTCACCTCAATGGTTCATTGTCTTCTCTTGCTGGCTCCAGATCGATTGCCAAGCTGCGCACGAAACTCGCTTGTCATCCCCGCCAGGCGAAGTCGATCGCCGGCTTGTGACAACCGGCCGTTACACCTAGGCAGCTTAGATTGCCGTTGCCCACGCATTGTAAAAGCTGAACCTTGTCAACAGCTTGACGCAGTATGTTTGCAGCTCAAAGAGCTTCGCCCAAGATTGGTTCGGCAGCAAGTCCGGCAGCTCCACCAGCAGATTAGAAGAGCACAGTGACGCCTTCAAGCATGCTTGAAGTTCGTGCCGGAACACTTCGGAAAAAGACAATTCTCACGAGCTGTCCTGCAAGGAGAGGAGCAGCAGCGGCCAGAGGCTCTTGGTGACCAGCGTTGAAAACTCGACACGCGCACAGGGAGAAAGTAGGGCACCTGTTTGTGTCCTGACCGCAGCTCGTCAAGCAAAAACGATTAGCAGGACCTCAGAAGATGCCTTCCAGAACAAACGTTCACTTTGTAGGTCGAAGCAGGGATCCAAGACCTCGACCAATAATGGAAGAGTTCTGCCGTATCAGTTTCAAGGCTTGCAGTTCCGAATCTAATCTAACAGCCAGCGACACGCGGAGTTGAAAGAGTACTGCGCGAACGGAGCTCTGGAGCACATGCCAGCTTCCTGAAGCATCGATTTGTGGAATTCAGACACTAGGGTTCAATCACAACGACGCCTCCAGGAGATTCAGGTGAAGTGCCACCCAAGCATAAAGGGAGCACGTCTGCCCAGCGCCCGTTGACACCTTGCTTAAAGAGGACCGGGGTAGCAACTGAGTTGAATTCTTGTCTGCTTAGGCTGCAGCAGGCAAAGGACCCTTGGGCTTGAAGAGCTTCTCCTTGCGGGGCCATATCTAATGATGACGCAGGCATCAAATTGCACGAGCGCCACCAGGTCCATTTGAGGTCGCCTTCCGCGCAGCGCCACGCATGCGATCCACAAAAGCTGCTGCTGCTTGTCCCGTTACAGGCCTGGCTTCAATTTCCAATTTCGCAACAAATTATGCTCAGCTCTTCACGTGGCCACGCCTCTGCATCTTCGCCAAAGTCCCCACAGTCCCACCGGTGGCAGCCAGAATGCCTACAGGCGTTGCAAAAGGAAGGCAATGCCCCGTCGTGACATTTATACCAGATTGCAGCGTATGCAAGCGTAGGATTTCGCCGACGATCAACTTGCTCAGCATCCACCAGTCAGCTATGACTGCCATGCTCGTGCTGCATCCTAGCAAGAGCCTCCATAGACGTGGTGGGAGTTCCAAACAAGGTGCCCCCTGGCCGAACACTGCGGATGGCACCTCAGTGGGCACGGTAAGACCGGTAAGACCAGTGCACACTGTGTGGGTCAAAGATTCTTCAGCGCATATGCTTGTGAAAGGACAAGAGGCGTTGAGGAGTAATGTGGCAAGCATCATCCATGGCGTGGCAGCAGAATGTCTTACAACATCAACGCTTGTCTTGGTGGCTGCTATGGGAAGCTGTGTGGCTTGCTGTAAACAGTTTCCCGCACGCAGCTCAAGCGAGACGCTAGCCGCATGGCAAACGACACGCAACATAGCGTCAGTGCCTCGACTACTGGGTTGACTACCCTTTTCACTTCAGCACTCAATAGCACACACACTAGCGGGAAAGATGTTCAGGCAAGCTTCTGAACCTGCTGGAAAAATTTGCTGTCATTCCTTTCCGGAAGGCCTTGCTTCTGACTTTCTCCACTGCCCAGGCTGCCTTCGAGCAACACAGCTCGCATCATCGGCATGATCAGCTTTAACTTCGGCATGTCAAGTCAATAATGGAAGAGTGCATCCAAGGCCCATTGCCTGCAAAGCATCTGAGTTTGTCGCGCCGCCCCTGTCCTGCTAAAACTGGTAGGCAGTATGCTTCCAAAGAACCAGCTAGAAGGCCCAACCTACCAAATGCAGATACCAGCATCCCCTGCCTGGGCACTCGTGCGAGCCTGAGACCACCGAGACTCCCTCATGCGCTGCACGCGTGAGCGCGCTAAAATGCCACCTCGTTCACGTCATGGTAAGCAAGGGCAGTGATGAAGACTTGTTGCATTCTCCAGCAGGTGGATTGAGTTCAAAGCGCTCCAGGGCTTGCAGCTTGATGGCGGCAGCTTCACGCTCCTCTTGCGCATTGCGCTAGCAAGGAAACTGAGGCAGCTTCAGGCGTCTGGCAGTTCATCTGCTTTGTTAGAGGCAGTTCGCCTACACTCCAGCTGGAAATACGCTTGAAGCATGCATTGTGACCTCACTCCCCTCGGAAATCCCTGAAATCAACCAGGGACATAGCCGGGCCCCAAGACGTGAACAGAGCAGGTCCTCTCGACGCGCGGGTGGCAGAGGCCGCGGACGCTGATAGCTCAGATCCTTCCCGACGGAGCTGGCATCCTTCAGCTCGGGCAATGGAAGCCCATGAGCCACATGTAGACACGCAGCGACGCCAACGCACCAGCATCAACGTATATCAACGTGCTGCGGCTGCAGCACTCTGCCTGGGCGGATCGCGAGCATCGCAGGGAGGCCAGTCTTGACCTCGCCATGATTCCACCTCAGCATTTTATCACAAATAATCACGATGTGTCACAGTCTTGTAGGAAGTTGAACCCTTGAGGCAGGCACGTTGGCGTGCCTGCAGTCTCGTTGCTGCAGCATCTTTGGCCTTGCTGCAAAGATGCTCATGCTACAAGATGCTACAAGTAGCACAGTTCGTAGTTGACACAGGCTTCCACATCCAGCAAAGGCTTGCAGAGGCTTGGGGGCAGGCAGCCCTAGTGCCGGTTGCGGCGGCACGCGAACGCTTCACCTCAGCAGCGAAGGCAGTGCATGGCAGTGCAAGCTTGCCACGCTAAAAGGCACCAAGAATCACGCCATGACAGAGAAGTCTGCCTTCTCTTCTGCGTCCAGCTGAGCAGGGCAGCGACAAGTTCGGAAATGCGCAATTTGAGCAATGATGAGCAATGTGTGAGCAACGTGAGGACGAAACCTAGCCTTAGCTTCATTGCTTGGCAGCTTCAAAGCAAATCGAAATAGTTTGGCACGTTGGTCCAATTCCCGCCAACCATGCGCCTCTTCGCACTGCAAGCTGGCGCCTGCGGCAGAAACGCCAAGAGTCTTCTCATCCTCTAGATGTCTCGCCTCAGACTCCTGGCATGCTGAAGTAAGCAGTTGCTGCATGAATCTGGCTAGCTTACACTGTTTGATACCAGAGACTCACCTGGCCTTCAAGCATTGCAGAAGGCTATGCGATCGTCTTAGAAAAAACATATCCAGACAGGACAGGCCAGGATGACCGCTTCCAGCACCAGGGCAGCTTCTGCTTCAATCTCTGCTTCCAAGCTCGTCTCAGCAAAGCTCACAGCTGGGCATTGAGCATGTTGCTGTTCTGGCCGTGAATATCCGTGTTTGACCCATAGAGAAAAACTCTTAACCGTCGAACGCTGGAAGGGCATCCACATCAGCGAGGTTTAGACTGGTGATGCCTCTTCCACAGCAGCTGCTTCGGCAGTAGAAGCTGCAGCGCGCAGCTCCTCCTACAGTCTACAATTGGCTTCGGGAAAGGCAAGATGTGGCCCACCATACCATCAGCAGAGTGGCAGGTGCCTGCAGAAGCTGGCATCTGTTCTCGCTAGCCAGTGCTCGCCTGGGAAGCAGAATGGGCTTTCTCCTTTGGAGGTTCCTAGAGCTGCATATTTAACAGGAGTACGCGTGCAGACCTTGCATGCGGACCTACATACCCACAAACGAACCCGCACGCGCATAAGTAACTGAAGATACATGTCTTGCATACACGACTACGATACATGCACTACATGCATACGTTGCATACGTTGTAACTACACATGACATGCGTTACATATCTCGCAGACAGTACATACGTACGTCACATATATCACATGGGTGTTCTCCAAAATTCTTTCATCCCAACATGACCTCTCCGCGGAAAACCCAGATTCCTTTCGCGAACAACCCTTGGCGAACTTTCACGGAAGGAATTTTGAAGCAGATATCAGTCATCCAGCGCAGAAGCTACGTCGTTTCCCATGGCTTGACGGCTAGGGGCGGCTAGCGGCGTGCTTGGCTTACGCGAACTTTCACGGATCTTTCGCATTTTTTTGGGTGAGAACTCTGAGGCTACACACATGTTTCACATGAATTTTTGCTAACTGGGGGATACCTTCATCAGAATACCAGGAGGGAATGCATCTGACCGCATGGAAGGAAGTATAGCTTACGATACATCTGCGGGAACTCCGAGATTCCTTTCGCAGGCACCTTTGCAAACTTTGGCGGAAGACCTTCTGAGCCAGCCCGTGGTCGTTTTACATACACACATCCACACAGAGTATTCGGACAGCCCCTACATACATCTCATGCAGTGCGCGCATTACGCGCGACAAATACCCGTCATACATGGCACTTACATCAATTAGTTACATTACGTTACATTACATTACATGACATTTCGTTACATTACATTACGTGCATTACGTACATTGCATACATTACACACATTACATGTGCTACATACGTCACATTAAATGCATGCATTACAGGATGTTTCTCCCTGTGCTCGCGTCAACCGTGCCAGCCCGTTCCATGCTTGGTATCGCCACGGTCTGAAAGGGCCCTCTGCTCAGCTAGGCTTGTCGATGATCTGAATGATGGGAGAAGAAGTACACACTACGCCTTATGCAGTGCATACATGACTTGCAAGGCGAGAAGCTGCACGGGCAACAAACAGAATGGGTATGTGCACTTGGCTGATGAGTTTTGGTGAGTCAGTCGGTAGGCTGTGACTCGAGTGCAACCGCTGAAGCGGCAGGCTCAAAAATGTTGCATTTTAGAGCGTGACAAACTCCCTACGTACCTGAGAGGGTGCCACGTGGGAAGGCAGCTTTGTACTGTTGGGAGTGTGGAGTGGCGAGCAGCCACCATTCCATAACGCTACTAGTACCGCCCAGTTTGGTGTGCGCACGCATTGGCGAGGGCCCCTTGGTAGGGCTAGCCGCTGCTTCGGTACTCGGTGATCCCGGACAACCATCACCATCACCACAGCCGCAGCGGCCATCAGCACCACAACCACCACAACCATCACCATCATCAACAACATCAGCTTAATCAACGTCACCATTACCATTTTCACTGCACCACATGGCTTGCATTACTTACGTTACTCATGAACAGTTCGGCTGATTGCGTGTTTTGTTGCACTCACACATCCTGACTTCACTCATCCAATGGACAAGTTCACCGCTCAAGATTGATACGCTGCATCATGTTTACTTCCGTTAGGCATTCTCAAAAAAACATTGAAGACCTCCTGAGAGTCATGTCGGCCTCATGGCTCCGTGCCCCCTTCACCCAACAGCGTAGCACAGGATTCTCTGAAGCCTGCCCCGAATCTCTGCTTGTGCAGACTTCTTGACCTGCCTAAGCACCTCTCAGAACGGCACCCTTGCTGGGTCGACCGCCCTGAAGACAAGTTCCACCCCTTTCCACCCTCAGTGCCAGGTGCTGGGCTCTCTCCTGGATGCCACATACTCCTTCAATTGTCAAAGTTCCAGACACGGTGCCATGCACGATACCTGAAAAGCTACAACTGCTCCTCTTCACACTCTTCCTCTGCCTCAACGTGCAGCATCTCTTCGCGCAAATGCCTTAGCCACTTCCACCTTCTTGGTGAGGGCAAAATTATCGACGCATGCAACAAAATACTTCGGGCACTGAAGAGTGGTTGTCTGGCACTAGGGCTTGTTGACCGATTCTCTGGTTAATCTTACTCTGCCACTATCCCGGGATTCAAACGTTTGATTACGTTTTGTGATGTCTACACAGGGTCTCTGATAAGGGTCATAAGGCCTACGTATTGTCCGTCTAAAGGGGCTATAAGGGCTACATAGAGTCCTTTAAAGGGGTCATCAGGCCTACATAGAGCCCGTTAAAAGGGATGATAAGGGCAATGTATTTGAGATAAGGCCTCCGTTGAAAAGGGGTTGTAAGTGCCATGTAGGGTCCCTTAACACAGGTCAAAAGGGTTCTATAGGCTTGTTTATCTTGTTTGAAAGGACTATAAAGCCCACATGAGTGTTGTCCAAAATTCTTTCATCCCAACATGACCTCTTCGCTGAAAACCCAAATTCCTTGCTCGAACACCATCGCGAACTTTCAGAAAAAAAATGAAGCAGATATCAATCATCCAGCGCAGAAGCTACGTCGTTTCCCATGGCTTGTACGGCTAGGGGCGGCTAGCGGCGTGCTTGGCTTACGCGAACTTTCACGGATCTTTTGCAATTGTTTGGGTGAGAACTCTGAGGCTACACACATGTTTCACATGCATTTTGCTAACTGGGGGATACCCTCATCAGAATACCAGGAGGGAATGCATCTGACCGCATGGAAGGAAGTATAGCTTACGATACGTCTGCGGGAACTCCGAGATTCCTTTCGCAGACACCTTTGCAAACTTTGGCGGAAGACCTTCTGAGCCAGCCCGTGGTCGTTTTACATAAACACATTCACACAAAGTATTCGGATAACCCCCGCAAATCGTCTCTTGAAAGGGTTTACAAATGGTTCATGACAGCGGGTCCTCTAAAGGTCTACACAGACTTCCTCTCAAGGGGTCATGAGAACCTTAAAAAGTGGCCAAAGGCGTATGAAAGGTCCCTTTAAAGGGGTTACACGGGCTATACGTGCTGCTTAGGCTCTCTTACGAAGGTTGCAGGGATACTTTGCAGTTGGGCACTGCAGCGATGTGTTGCAGTTGGATACTCTGGCCCAATCGCTGCAGGGATACTCTGCGGCTGGGTGCTGCAGGACATTGTGGCGTTGGGCTTCGCAGTGATACTCTGCGGTTGGGCACTGCAGGGATACTCTGTGGGCGGGCACTGCGCAGACAGTTAGAACATTGGCCTCTTAAAATCTCACAACCCCACCGTGAGGGTGGGGAATTAGGAATCTCTTCCGTGTTGGGGACTTTTGTTCTGCGCTGTTTGCAAGGAAGTCGCATGGTGGATTTTGATGACACTTGATGCGACTCTGCGATCGCCTTTTAAGGAACCGGCCTTGTTGCTAGCTCCGCTAATCTTGGGGGCTTGTTGGATGAATTGTGACTGTAAACGTGGGGAAACAGCCGATGTCAAGAAGACCTCCGTAGGCCGCGCGCTAGGTACCTCAAGTACTGCAAATAATTCCTTTTGTGATACATGATGAACGTCACACTCGAGGATTTCACTCATTCGTGCAGAAACAAAGGAGCAGAAAAAAGGATTCGCTACCTGACACAATAGATCTCTAGCTTGCGATGATCAGAGTGAACATCCTTTCCAAGGTCTTCTATGCTCAGCGCTATACCGCCCCTCAGCACAATCTGACAAAGCTTAGATCCATGCATTCCATCTCGAGTCTAGGTCTAGGAGTCTAGGATACCCCAAGCTTGCTTACTCGCTTCAACCGCAACATGGTACGTTGTAATTGCATTGTGAATCACAGCTTTCTTCGCAGCGTTTCTCAGAGGACAGCATAAGCAACCCAGGCAGCTTAAGCAGACAGTGTTGACAAGAAGCTCCGCATTCCAAGCAGAACACATCCACAACTTAGAGCCTTTGGCACGTGCAACTGGACAAGCAGTCTCCAAACATCAATGCAAACCCGCTGAGCGCAGCACGATACTTTGCCTCAGTTTGGTCAGCGTCAAAAGGTACACAAAGACCCTGGTTCTACGAGTTCACTGCAGCACTCTAGGACAGAGGCTGCCATTGCTCGACACGGCGCAGGTGACAGAAGCCTTCATCAATTGTTCAGAGAATGACGGCTGAATAAGCACTGCTGATGGATCCACTGCCTCCGAGGTATCAAGATCGTGTGCTGCCACGGCCTTGCAGGCAATCGGTTATCGGCTACTGAGAGATAGCTGAAATCAAACGTCGAAGTCTTCTCTAAAACTTGAAGTCTGTGTTGTTGGGGTAGTAATGTGTGTACTTTTGAGCTACGTTTGGCGTGTTCATTCTCAGTGTGTGCCCTTTTTTTAATCGGGTTTGAGCGCTTAGTTGCCTGACATGCAAGACCTGGAGCTGTTAAGCCGCAGCATGTGATAACTCCGCTCCTCTGCTCACATTTCTTCTCAAAGGATTCGCACATGTGCCGGGCTCCCCCAGGCTTAGCAGCGGATGGATTTAAAAGACCGTCGAAGCAGAGCTTGCACACTGGTCATTACGGGTTGCGAAGGCTTTTGTGATGGTTCCTGCCTTGTGGGCTTTGATGCAATATCAATATCATGTGCAAGCCTCCACGATACCCGACAACCCTTGCCGCAGCCTGCTGAGGCTCAGCTTCGTGCGCCTTACGCCTTGGACCAAATGTCAGCAAGAAGCACACAGCAAAGGGCGCAAGGCTGCCTTTAGGCAGTCAGAACCAAACCATAACTGGGACAACTGTCTTCGTGGAGGAGGCCCATGGTAAACCATCGCAACCATCGCTTCGGCAAAGCTGGGCTCACGGCAGCTGCTGGAGAACCATCCATGCTTTGGCCTTTGAAGACTTCATCTCTTGGACCTTTTGACCTCCCAAGGACATGAAATCAACTTCTGCAAACAGAATGAAGGCCCTAAGAACGCAGGCCTAGCTCGGAAGACTGAAACTCAGCTTCAGCAGTCTCTGCCTCATCAAGACTGCGGTCACCAGATATTGGACAACACACATTACCATCGCTTCTTCAGCACTGAGCCTTTGCAACCACAATCTCGTCGCTAAGACCTTGGAGACGGTCTGCATCAGCGGCTAGTGAGGTTGCTGCAGCGCCTGCAAGCATTTTCAGACCAAAGGGAATCCGGTTTGTTGACAAATGCCTGCCTGTGAGGGAAAGGGAAGCACGAGGCTGACGAGTTGCCAGATCTGCGCGCTGCTGAACATCGAAGCCCGGAATCTGGGTCAGCAAAGCTGCACGCCAATCCTGCCAAACCCTGCGCAGCTGCTGTCGCTTCATCACCTGAAGCTCACTGCCCTTGGAAGACACAAGGCTAATGCAGGCAATGCAGCCAAGCGCTGTCTCAGCTCCTCACTGAGAGCATTCAACTTTTGCATGGCCGTCCTGGATTTCGCAGCAAGAAGTAGCAGTCTCGGAAGCAGTAGCCGCAACAAGCAGCAGCAGCACTGGCACCAGCAAGACTAATAAGGAAGGAGGAGGAGGGGTCGGAGGACGATAACGATGAACCTTCGAGTGTCCTGTGCTGGTACCAGCGCTACTTCCATGTACTAGATTGTCACCAGCGTCTGCTGCCAACACCACCACAGCTGCCATCACCCACCACTGCTGCCACCATGATTACCTCTACTTACTCTTTCTGTAGGAACCCGTTCCTGCATAGTTGATCATGGAGTCTAGTGCAGCTAGCATTAGGTCGAGGTACGTGACAGCCACACCAGCAGCAACGGCTTCATCAACTGCACGCTCCGCAGCCAGACGCCGGTCCTGAGACAAGCAGCTTCATGTTCGATGACGCATGATCTCTTTGATAACCCCATTCCCCTTGAGATAAAAGGTGTCGCCCCTAATCGTGAAGCGAGCCTTGCTTGAAACATGACTTATCATTGTCGGAGAAGTGGGGAGGGCTTTGTCCTAGAGACTAAGATGGGCCATTGTGCTTTCCATCTCAAAAAACACTGTCGAATGAACTATTTCAACAACTACTTGATGCTACTTGATTGATTACTTCAAGTCCAATGCTTAGTGACTTCCAGATAGATTATATTTGCATTAGTTCACCCAGGAAATTTAAAAATCAAACGAAAGCCTAGAAAATGAAGGGGATCTATATTGTTGTTTCCTAAGTGCAACCCTCCCCCCATTACCTCAGAACCCCTGATTCATGGGTGTGGGTTAATCGGGCCCCTTTTATCCCGCTTTACTTTGTCTTCCTGTATAGTCGTACAGACTCCCCCAGGCTCATTTTGCCAAGATACGTGTACGGGGGGGGGGAGTGTTGAACAACTCTCACACAAGTCTGCCCATGCAGCAGGGCCCAGTATAAGGCGGATGGGGGGGGGTGGTCTTACGTATTCATGCTCATTCGCAAACGGAAAGGCTTTCAAGTCCACTCCCATGCTGAAACACGCTGAGCTGCCTCCAGCATTGCACTCACCTCAGGCATCTGCTGCCCGATGGCAGACCGCTGGGCCACTGCGTCGGCCTTGCGAGAATAAGCCGCAGCCGACCGGCATTAAGCAAAGTGCCATCTGAGTAAGTGGCGCTGCCCTGCTCAGCACGTGCAAGTGACTGCCGCTTCCGTTCAATCCTCATGTCAGCAAAGGTCAGCTCTCCGAGACATGACGTCGCTAAGAACCCGACTCCAGCCGGAGAGTGTCCAAATCTTCGGAGGTCATCGCCTGTCAAATTTTTGACCAAGGCCGTGGCCATCCCCGCCAAAAAGTGGCTGCAAGAACATACAATGCTGCACAGCACACCTTTAACTCGTTGGTGCAGCTGTCGAGCTCAGACTCCGCTTGCTGCAAGATGCCCTGGCAAAGGGATGCCCATGCCCGTCTTCTGGAGCATTCTTGTGGAATGTTGTGGACAATGCTGGCATGTGAGGCTCCTCCGTGGTTGCATAGCTTTCCTCGCAGGCGGATAGATCATGATCTCTGCTGGAGAGTTGGTCCTGCAATGAAGCTGCATAGCAAGGGCATCTACGCTTCGCTTATCTGCGTCAAGGCAAGCCTGTGCTTCCTCTAGCTCCTGCCGGAGGCTTGCAGCACAGGCCTTTCCAAATCTGACGAGCATCATCCGAGTGCGTGTGAAATTGGGAATGAGAGCTGGCCTCTTCAACCTCGAAGCTGCGTCGCGAGTCTGCCAGCTTAGTCCGATCGCCTGGCCACGGAGTTTACATACTACACTTTACTACACAGGGTTACTTCAACGTCGGACAGGAGATGAGGCTCTGGCAGTGAACTTTTTCCTGCAACCTGGAGTCTAAGTGCCAGAAATGGGGTTCAGGAATCCTGGATTGACTGGCTCTGGTCAGTACTTTCTGCGATCGATTGATCAAGCGTAGCAGCATGAAAGTCCATGCAAGGGCACCGGACCGCGTCAGCTTGGCCATCATGGCTGTGCGCTTCCAGCTCCTGGCAAGGAGCCATGAGACGATTGCCGTGGCCTGTTGTGAGCAGGCATCAGTGACCCCAACAATTCAGGAGCCGGCGACGTCTCAACTTTGGATGACGAATGCTGTGCTTGATCGAGTTCAGCCTATCACGGGCACTGGAATGAAGCTCTCGACGCTCGGCCAGGTTTCTAACACCCTCTCCTCCTCAGAAGTGCATCTCGACACGCAAATTGCATACATGCTGAGCCTTGAGGTCGATGTTGTTCATCTGCAGGCTGCGGTACCGCCGCCTCTCCTACGCGAAGTCAGGTTGGCACTGCCCGAATGACCCTATAACACGACAGTCACGAGGAAAGAGACGAGGCATGCGAGGATTGCCTGCCTTAAGGACCTGCTCTGCTCAGGCTTTTGATGCACCATGATGCATCAAGCATGACTTTGGAAGCTGCGAAGCCCTTTGAAACCTAATCCAAAGCAGTCAGCACTAAGTCTGCTCACCTTCTTTCTGCGGCAAATGTTTTTTTCAGAGTTCGTGTGCGTCTGAGCCCGCACTAAAGAGCACAGGAAGGCGCCACCATGGAGTCCTCTTCGATTTCATCACCGAGGCTTTTCAAGGCCTTTCTACCAAGAATGTATGAGGTGTTCAAAGTCAATGCACAATAAATCTTCCCCGACGTGCCTCCTGGTGATTGAAGGCTGCTGTATTTTCGTGCTTCATCTCCTGCAGAAAGGCTCGCTGCTTTGCACTCGCTACTCGCATCCCATCAGCTTGGCTGCAGGCAACTTCGCCGCCATTTGCAAAATCAGTCACCACTATCCCTTCCCCAATTTCTCCAGTTGTGCTGTTTTTGCCGACGCCTCCTTGAGACTTGTCAGATCGCGAGACAGCGAGCGATGCTCCGTTTCCCTCTCGTCGAGCTCCTGAGATGACCGCCACAGCCGCCAAGAACACTGAGAAATACTGAGAACAAAAGTGGTAGCTGCAGTCAGACTCAGGGCTTCAGCGCGCCTGCAGGAGGTCCACGCATCGATCCGCTTCGCTGCAGAGCTGGGCCTGGCGCAGGGCCATGCCTGGAGCCTTGGGTTTGCTTTTCGTCCCAGCGTCCCAGCCTTGGCATCTGCCACTTTGCTGGCCAAAGCTTTTTGGGCCTTTAGCAAGTCAGGCTGCCCATAAGACCAGAAGTGTCATTGCTGGCCTTCTGAACTTCAAGGTAAGTGGTGGAGTATCGCTCCAGTTCTCGATGCAGTTCTCTTGCCTGCTGACTGCTCTATGCCAGCATTTGCCAACAGTGGTAACAAGCCAAAAGATCTTGCGACACAAGATCAAAGGAAGGCCTCGGCCTTCAAAGGCTCAATGATGTGGGGATCATTGCCGGCAATCCTGGCCCGCTGCTCTTGTTGGCTTCGGTCACATAGTGGCAATACTGCAAGCAAGTGACTGCACATCGCTGAAGCGTCGCTCAAAAGCTGCTTGGCTCAGGCGTCGGACTAGCTCCTGCAAAGACAATGCCAAGCATGCCGTGCAACAAAAGCTTCACAGTCTGTTAAGCGTCGCGCCAGTGGGTTCTCATCAGCTTCAACTTGTTTCGGCTTCTTCTCGGCCACGCCTCCCAAGGCTTGAAGGGATACGAGACTTCTTGAAGGCGATCCCTCGCAAAGCCTGTTTTGCAGCAAACTGTTGGGCCTTGAGATGTCGCTTGCATAAGCTGCCTTATTGCCAAGGCGCACGGTAGAAGGGAGAGCTCTTGCGGCCTATCTGATCCGAGCTCAACAATCCAAAATTAGACCGGCGAAGACCCCAGATAGCCGGGATTTGGTTTTTTGATCGAACGTTTGTTTAAATTTGGTTGAATTTTGGGTTGCAATTTTGGCGGGTCCAAGAAGCTTTTTGGACCCGGCCTGCGCACTTCTTGCTGATGTTGTTCAGCTTTCAAGCCAAAAATCAGCCTTCAAAGCTCACAAAAAAAAAAATCAACTAAATTTGGTTGAGTTTGGGTTGGTCCAGGATGCTTTTTGGACCCGGCCTGTGCACTTCTTGTTGATGTTGTTCAGGTTTCAAGCCAGAAATCAGGCTTCAAAGCCGGAAATCAGGCCACAAAATTCACGTAAAAAATTCAACCAAATTTGGTTGAATTCTGTGTGGCAATTTTGGCGGGTCCAGGACGCTTTTTGGACCCGGTCTGCGCACTTCTTGCTGATGTTGTTCAGCTTTCAAGCCAGAATCAGCCTTCAAAGCTCACAAAAAAAAATCAATTAAATTTGGTTGAGTTTCTGTGGCAGTTTGGGCTGGTCCGGAGGTTTGTGCACTTGTTGCTGGCGTCGGCTAGCTTTCCAACCGGAATTCAGCACACAGAACCCGCGGAAAAAATTCCAACCAAACTTGGTTGAAGTTTTGGGTAGCAATTTTTGCGGGTCCAGGACGCTTTGTGGACCAGCGCGCCCCGCCTGCATGCCGATCGCATGCCGCTGCAACCCGTTCGGCGGCGGTGGACGCAGCGCGCCCCATGCATGCACCAAATTCGGTTGAATTTTGGGTGGCAATTTTGGCCGGTCCAGGACGCTTTTTGGACCCGGCCTGCGCACTTCTTGCTGATGTTGTTCAGGTTTCAAGCCAGAAATCAGCCTTCAAAGCTCGCACAAAAATTCAACTAGATTTGGTTGAGTTGTGAGTGGCAGTTTTGGCGGGTCCAGGACACTTTTTGGACCCGGCCTGCGCATTTCTTGCTGATGTTGTTCAGGTTTCAAGCCAGAAACCAGCCTTCAAAATGAAATGCGCACAACAATTCAACCAAATTTGG